CTTCTTTTCGGGTTTCTTTCCCACGTCTTGAGTTCTATGCTTAGATTACACTGATAAATGCAACGCTTGCACCCGTGGTTGCGGGTTTTGTTAAAAGTTTTCACTGTTTTATCTAATTTGCGAAGCAATGCTTTGGTATACATGCGATCTGACCGACAAGAAAGAGTACGAGAACGAGATGTTGCGATGGAAAACAAAGTGACTGCATTCCAGGCATTCAACTGGAAAATAACCAGCAACTCTGGCTGACACTCGACTGCATAAATACAACTCTTTATCGAAACGTTAACACCATCCTCACGATCCTTCTCACGATCCCTGTGTCAACTGCAACTCCTGAGCGCAGTTTTAGCCCGATGCATAGAGACTAATCTACGGGCAACCATGAGGACAGAGCGACTCTCGGCCCTTGCTCTAATGCACGCGTACAAGGACACGGCCATTGACGGGGAGGCCGTGGCTCGTGAGTTTTGCGGTAAGAAGAAAAGGATGCTAAACTCTGGATTCCCATAAAACTTGACTTGAGATACTTAGCTCGGCATTCAGTCCAGTAGTACTGTGTTGTACAGTACAATTCGTCATAGTTTCAAATCAGATCTCGTTTAGTTGCTGAGAATTCATGACGTGAGGATATTTTTCCGGCGGGGGGGGAGGGGTACTCCAGGTAAAATTTGGTAGGGGTGTGCGGCTCGGTTTCCAACACCCTTACCCTGTTGATGACCAAAATCTGCGATTTTCAATACCCTATTTATGACCTGATCCTAAATCAATACCCTGTTTCAGAACTTCCTTATACTTAGTTCCCTAGTTCAGACCGACGTTAAAGGCATCGTGAAGGGCTTTTTTGTTGATCGGTCTTATCGATAATGACTGATAATGATGAAGAAATAGCTTCTTCTAAAAAAACTTACCCAATCAAGACTAGAATGCAAAAATTGTTACCCTATTTATGACCAACACGGCTGAAAAACCCTATCCTTTGGGGCCGCACATACCTATATAGCCCATATAAGGGAGTACCCCCGGGTGGGGATATTTTGTAATGATGCCTTATAGGCCACCTTGAGTTGTAATAAAGCATGAGTTAAATAGGCCTACTTGACTACCCCCACCTTCCCCGGCCGCACTACTCTTACGAGGTATAGAACGGGCTTACAAGCCATAAATGGCTAGCTACGCCCCTGTCACTCCATCTGAAGATATCCAGGTCGCTTTATGAACCCTCTTATGCGGAAAGAGAGTTCCACCAATACTTAGACCATTTAATGGGAGAAATAGTCCTCTGTAATTACAGTATTACACTTTTCAAGCCTTTTTTTAATGCTCTGATTTTGTTTAGTTAGTAATGTTGCTTTCGATAGCATGCAAACTCTGCTCAAATGATGGTAGTGCAGTTTTTTGCTGTTGAACCTCTCAGGAAACAAATGTTGACTTCAACAGCTTCAAAGGGCGAGAATGAAGCGAAGCCCGCGGATGAAGTTGTTCTCTCCGAAACTCAGAACCTGGATAGGACAATGGAATGTGCGAACCCTATACGAGTCTGGAAAGTTGGCGCAACTGGCCGCAGAAATAAGGCGTTATAGGTTGGAAATCTTGGGAGTCAGCGAAGCTAGATGGAATCAATTTGGGGAAACCGAGCTGGCAAAGGGAGAGCTTTTCATATACTCAGGGAACGAGAGCAAGTATGACGTCCATGAGAGAGGGGTCGGCATCATGTTATCAGGGCTGCGAAGAAATGCCTGATGGAATGGGAACCAATAGATGATCGCATTATTGCAGCCAGAATTAACGCCAAAATCCAAAAGATCACCATCATACAGTGCTATGCTCCCACGAACAACGCTGAGCCATATGAGAAAGAGGAATTTTGTAACAAACTGCAGGCGGTGGTTGACAACGCTCCGAATAGAGATACCCTCATCGTGATGGGTGACTTTAATGCCATGGTCGGACGGGATAATGGTAGCATTGAAAGGATCATGGGAAATTAAAGGAAGGACTCGGAGATGTCAATGAAAAGAAGAGTTGGTGGATTTGTGTGCATTAAATGGTCTAAGTATTGGTGGAATTCTCTTTCCGCAAAAGAGGGTCATAAAGCGACCTGGATATCTCCAGATGGAGTGACTGAAAACCAAATCAATCATATCCTTTTAAGTCAGCAATGGAAAACATTACTGCAGGCTGTGCGTGTAAAAAGGGGAGCCACTATAGAGTCTGACCATCACCTTGTTGTGGCTTCTTTGAAGATCAAGCTGGCTGCATGAAAGCCGTTCATAAATACATGAAGGACTTTTGATGTCATGAGACTGAGAGACCCTGACACAAAACAGGCCTTTAAAATTGAGCTGCAAAACCGGTTTGAATCCCTATTCCTTCAAGAAGAAGAAGAAGAAGAAGTAAGGATCAAATGTAAACGGGGATGGAGGTGAGCAGGCCCAAGATATTGATATCAATGTACAGTAGGAGAAAGCCAAGAAGATACTTGTTGACATATGTGGGAGTGTTCTCGGACGTATAAAAAGGACCCGGAAGGAGTGGCTGTCTGATGAGACATACAGGAAGATTGAAGAAAGACGGAAGGCCAAACAGATACTGAATGACACTCGAACGAGGCAAGGGAAACGTGAAGCAAATAGATACTACAACGAGAAGAATAGAGAGGTTAAGAAATCTTGCCGAAGAGAAAAAAGGAACTTAATTGAGCGCATTGCACGAGAAGCAGAAGACGCAGCTAAGAACAATGATCTTAGAACCCTATATATGGCAACACGGAAACTTGATACGGGATACGATGCAATCAGAATCGCCCAATTAGAAGTGATGGAACTCTCCTGACGAAAACGGAAGACCAGCTTCAGCGATGGAAGAGGCGTTTTGAATCCGTATTGAACAGACCAGCCCCAAGCCAATTACCAGATCCCCGATCTGCAGACGTTCCCCTGAACATCAACACAGGACCTATTTCCAGAAGAGAAATTAGAACACCCCTCACTCAATTGAAGAATGCCAAAGCTCCATGGGTGGATAACATCCCTCCTGAAGCCTTAAAGAAGGGAGGTCGCTGTACTGTGGAAGCACTGCATACAATTTTAAATTTCGTATGGGACAAAGAAGAGATTCCAGAGGACTGGAAGAGAGGTTTTCTAATAAAGCTGGCAAAAAAGGCGACCCTAGTTTGTCTGGTTACTGGAGGGGAATAATGTTGCTCTCAATACCCAGCATAACCCGGGCCATATTGAACCGAATGGAGGTGGCTGTTGACGAAGCCCTGAGACACGAGCAGACGGGATTTAGAAAGAATCGTTCTTGCACCGATCAAATTGTTACACTGAGGATTATTGCAGAACAAACAATCGAGTGGTCATCTCCCCTGTACTTGTTATTCGTGGATTTTGAGAAAGCGTTTGATTCTCTGGATAGGGAGGCTATGTGGAGGATTCTTCGTCATTACTGTATACCTAATAAAATCATCAATGTGCTTAAGGTTCAGTACCAGGGCTTTACTTGCCAAGTGCTTCATGGGGGAACTATGACCGAGCACATCGAGGTCAAGACCGGTGTGAGACAGGGATGCCTTCTTTCGCCGTTGTTGTTCCTTGTGCTGCTTGACTGGTTGTCAAATAACGCATATGAGGGTAAACGTTTGGGACTCCAGTGGTCACTGACCCAACGCCTAGAAGACTTGGATTATGCTGACGATCTTTGCTTACTAATACACCGACTGGCTGATATGAAAGTGAAAGGAGAAAGATTAAAAGAGACTAGTGGTCAGGTAGGGTTCAAAATCAACATCCAGAAAACAAAGGAGATGCGAATTGGCCTGAGGCAACAAGAATCATTGGAACTTCATGGGGAAGCTGTTGAGAGAGTGTCCGAGTTCACGTACTTGGGAAGTATCATCAATGAAACTGACGGAACTGACGAGGACATAACAGCCAGAATAAGGAAAGCGTAATCGACATTCTCGATGCTTATGCCTGTGTGGAAGGAAAAATGTATCAGGTTGCAAACAAAGCCCAGGATTTTCAATACGAACGTAAAGTCTGCCCTTTTGCATGGTTCGGAAACCTAGAGATGGACGGAACGACTGATCAAGAAATTGCAGACATTTATCAACAAGTGTTTAAGGAAGATCCTGAACATCCGTTGGCCAGAGGTCATTTCAGATGAAGAACTATGGGAAAGGACACAACAAAGTCGTATAGAAGAAAACATTAAGAGAAGAAAGTGAAAATGGATCAGGCATACACTACGGTAGCCTGAGAATAACTTCATCCGTTCCGCCCTCGAGTGGCCCTTAGGGGTTCAGAAGAAGAGGCCGCCCAAAGCAACCCTTCAGGCCAAGAAGAATGTCACTTGGATAGAGGCAAAGAGAACTGCCAAAAATAGAGTCAGGTGGAGGTCCATAGCTGACGCCCTATGCTCCGCATCAGGAGCGAAGATGGAATAATGTATGTATGTAAATACTATTACTATTACTATAACCATTACCATTACCATTACTATTACCATTATTATTATTATTATTATTATTATTATTATTATTATTATTATTATTGTTATTATTATTCAAATAGCTAAATATATGTGTCATTATCATATTCAATCGTTGCCCCAATGTTCCTCGATTTGTTTGTAACAAATAGTCTACTACACAGTTATGGCACTACCCTGCATAGCAAGCGTTCCCGGCGTACGAAGAGCTTATTCCACATTCTGGCCACGTGCGAATGGGAGTGTGACTGAGTGAGGTCGCTCGCCCCACCATCCCCTGCGTGCCTCATGATACCTACATAACTCACAAATTGCGTCGACCTTTGTCTTTTAATTTTGCTAACAGGATGTCTTCGAGATTCAAGAAACAAAATTAAATAACTCGTTATATCGAGCCTGAAGAAAGATGACATGATATGCATGGTACTTAAATAAATACCTCTGATGTGCGTGGGAACTTAAAAGCTAGTGCTGAGACTTCGTTTTTGGATATGTAAGTAAGTTACCTGGAGTTTGGCACCATGAATGTACATTTCTAGGAGTGACACGTGCCTCCGCTGCCCGTTTCAAAGTGTAGGCCGAGAACACTGCAATTCCCAAATATTCGTCAAACATTGTCGCGTAGTAGGTTTGCTGAGCCTGCTGTGCTGGAGGCTGGGGCATCGGCGGCTGACAGATGTATCTTATATCCCCATCGTAGTAAGGACGTAGATGTTGTGGTGGCTGTCTACCTACGAAAAATTCTCTGTAGCAATCCAGGGAAGGATCACTGTAATCATAATGAACAACTCTTCGGATTCCCGTAGCGTCTTGGTTGCAGTCTTCTTTAGTGTTGTTCTCAGCGTCTGTTGCATGAGCTCTATTACCTAGGTGACAAATAGTAGTAATAGATAAATAAATAAATAAATAAATAAATAAATAGAAAGATAGATAGATAGATAAAAAATGGTATTTCTTTGCTGTTAGAACTTTGGCTTTCTTTTATCAAGAAACTTTCCAGCTGTAATGGTAGCTATAATAAAATTTCCCTTTGTAATTGGTTCCTCAGACGCCCATTTGTTGCGTAATTGGAGTGGTTGATCACGTGGGTTTCCAGCTCGTTGAAATTGAATCACTAAATTTAAATCTCGCGAGTCATTCACTAGACTCCTATACAGACGCTCTTTGGGCTCTTCACGCAATCTTTTTCGCGGAAGAAGAAGATTGCATGACGACTCCAGAAAGCGTCTGCGTAGGAGGCTAGTCATTTACAAGCACTTTTATACCTTCTTTCTTTCTGTTTTCTTACTCCTTCGAGAAAGGATGTACGATATGACTGGGTTATCACTTGTTTTACAGAAGGAAATTTCTCAGACATCCTACCCTCGAATTTTGTTATTGATACAATTTATTAATGATTATACCATTTTTTTTTTGTAAAATGTAAACAAGCAGAGTGCGATGTGGACGCGCACGGTAGGGTTAAAATTGTTCGCTCCAAGAAAGAATTCAACTAAGAAAGGAGCATATCACATGTGATATGCTCCTGACCAAGACTACTGATTGTTTTATTTTCGCAAGAAACTGACATAATGATTGAAAGATCCTGATTCTCTCTAGTGTTAACCCTCGGACGTACGTACAAGCTGACTAATACCCTACCGCGGTATAACGTTGGGGGGGGGGAGTTGATGGAATCCCCCCTTAAGGTTTTCGTTCTGTTAAGGCACAGCGGAATTAATCTACGTTGATTAGATAGCCCTTGGCTTGCTCTAAAAGTTGATACCATTTTTTTGGTTATGACGTCATATGACGTCAAATGGCGTCATTTGGCCCGGTATCATGGATCCGCCATCTTGGATTCCACTATTTTCTTAAAAAGTAACGGAAGTTAGTACAAAATCAAGCCAAAATGCTTATGAAATATGAAAATTCGTGAATTTCTGCAATTTGATGAAGAAAACTGGAAAATCTACAGAATTATGTAAAAAAAGTTGATTTTTGGCTGTACCTACGTAAAATTTGCATTTGCCATGGCAACGTTAACAATGTTAGACACAGAATTGACATATCAAAATTTCCGGGGAGAATGAATGAACAGCTACTGAAAGTTTCAGCCCCTTAGAGTAAATCGTCTTTTCAAAATTTCTGAAAACCTTATGGGGGAGGGAGGCGGTCACATCCAACCCCGCCCCCTCGCCCTTTTGTACGTCCAAGGGTTAAAAATATTTTCATTCACGTGAGAGGACAAATTTCTCTTGATTCAATGTCACGGTCAGTCGTTAATCCATATATAGTGGAAGGAAGATAGTCTTTCAAATTATTACCGCATCTGAAAGCATTTAATGCTTCTTTTCGTTTTCTAAATCAGGTTTTGCATCATATGTCTGAACAAGAATGCACAATAAAACACAATTGTTTTGCATTCTTCCGGGTAATACCTTTATTCAATAAATTTAGTATTTAGCAGTGTTCTTAGCACGTAGGGGCCAAACCACCCCCCTGTTTCATGAAGGCTATATTTGCTTGGTTTATTTATTTCTGAAACAAGTTTGGCAGATGAGCTTTCTTTGTTCTCCTGATTATTTTAATTTGGAAGTTGTGACAAAATGTCAAATTATGACGTCATAATTGATGACGTCACCAAAACGTGCTATAATTTTTTTGTAAAATCTGATAAAAAGATTATGTCATTGGAAAGACCTTGACCTGAGGAGTAAAATGCCGGAAACCGTTTTTTTCTATGATGATTATTTTTCGAGATATGGTAAGTTAAATATTTTTTTGTTGTAGCCCCCGGAATTTGCTTAACCATACTGTCCTTCTTAAGTCAGTCTCTCTGGTTTATTTTTTTCAGTTTTATTCT